GGCGCGGGCTAGGGAGAAGCTGGAGGTAGGCGGGCGAGGGAGGGGCGCAGGGACCCAGCTAGAGCCGGGGGCTTCTGCGGTTGCAGCCGGGCGAGGAAAATGCTGCTGGGTGGCGGCATCTCGACCCGAGTGGGACTAGAGGAGAAAGAGGCCTGGAGCTCTGGGGGCGGGGCCTAGAGACGCCCGCGGTGGGGGGGAGAGCGGAGGGCCCCCTGGGACCTTGGGGTGCGGCGGGGGCGGGGAGGCCGACTGAGGTTCCGCTATGTGCAGAGATGCCGTGAGCACGGAGGACAGGAGAGGAGCCCCACGGGACCCAGGAGGAGGGGGAGTGGAGGCCCCCGGCAGGGCGCACCGGGGCAGGCTGGAGCCCAAAGTGCCGAGCTGCCCTCTCTGCAACCTTCTCACCCTGTCTCCGTCCACCAGGCCCCAGCCACCCCTCCGGATGCTGCTGCTGCCGTCCCCCTGCCCCCGGCCCCTGGCGCTTCCCTCTGTTGTGGCCATGGAGGCCCCTCCCTCTCGGACAGGCCTGTCCCAGCAGCCTGGACCTTCCTCCTCTGTGGGGTCTCTGGTCCCCCAGACTTCGTCCCCTCCGAGGCCCACCCACTACCTGCTCATTGACACCCAAGGTGTCCCCTACACAGTGCTGGTGGACGAGGAGGCACAGAGGGAGCCCGGGGCTGATGGGGCTTCAACCCAGAAGAAGTGCTACAGCTGCCCGGAGTGCTCCCGCGTGTTCGAGTACATGTCGTACCTCCAGCGCCACAGCATCACCCACTCCGAGGTGAAGCCCTTCCGGTGTGACACGTGCGGGAAGGCATTCAAGCGGGCCAGCCACCTGGCGCGGCACCACTCCATCCACCGCGTGGGCGGGGGGCGGCCCCACGGCTGCCCGCTCTGCCCGCGCCGCTTCCGGGATGTCGGAGAGCTGGCTCAGCACAGCCGCGTTCACTCTGGGGAACGCCCGTTCCAGTGCCCACGCTGTCCCCGCCGCTTCATGGAGCAGGACACGCTGCAGAAGCATGCTCGGTGGAAGCACTCGTGAGCTGAGGGCGGCCCGCCATGTGCTGTGGGTTTTGGGCCCTGGACACACACAAGCCATTCTCTAATGGGAGCCAAGTGTTGTCTGAAGGAGGGACCCACTGGTCCCTGTGGACGCGGGGACAAGCTGGGATGGGGGAGCCCTCACACCCATCAGGCCTGTAGCCTGTGCGCTCCATGCCCACTGTAGCCCCTGGAACCCAACCTAGGGGTGTGTGTCTAGACGTCCTCTGGCTAAAAACGTCAGGGCATCAGTAATCTGCACGTTTTCCTGAGGCCTGCAGGCTGATTGGGGGAGGCCTCAGACCTGCCTCCCAGCCCCAGGGCCTGAGGGTAGGCAACACAATGCCCACTTTGAGCACCTTGGCCAGCTCCAGAGCAGGCCCACTCCCCCCCCCCCCCCCAAGGTCAGACTGCACCAGGGTCTGGCCTCCCTCTGCTCCTGTAAACCTGTCATCTGGGAAGTGCTTTCAACTTCAACATTTGAGAAACCACATCCTACTGTAAGGAGGACGTTTTAATGGCCACCTAGTAGACACCTGAATTACATGAGAAACAGAAGCTGTTCTTCCTTTTTTAGTTTTGTTATAGGCTGTGTGCAGTCACCAGAGAGAAAGCGAGAAACTCCCCCAGGGAGCACAGCCATGCTGCAATCCCTTCTCCATTCTTGGCTCAGGACTTTGGGCACACATGCACACATGCTGGGTGTGATTTTTGAGCCAAGTAGGGGACTTGAGCTGCAACCTGTCCTGTGGGATCTGGGCCTTAACCTCCACACCACCTACTGGCCCCAGAAGCTGTTTTAGCTGCAGTGTGCCCTGCATGCACTAGATCTGTTTCTCCCACTATTAACGCTTTACGCTGGTGTTTTACCCCACTGCATTGAACTCCCCACCTGGGAGCCTGTAGTCTGCAAGGCTGATCTAGGGCAGGGGCTCTCCCTGGGCTCTCTGATCCGGGCTGCAGTTTATCTGTAAAGTGAAGTGGGCAGGGAGTGCAGAGACGCAGTGTCCCTCCCAAGGGTTACCAGTGCTCTCACGAGGGCTGGCAGGGTTCCTGGGCATGGATGCTGCGGTGGACAGGAGACACCTGGGAAGCCCAGCGCGCAGCTCCATAAGCATCTGCCTCCCTAACGCGTTCTCCTTCCCTGGCTGCTTTGCGCAAGCGCTGCGCTAGCTTTCATTTCTTGTCTCGACCTCTTTTTGGGTGGAAGAACCAACACCCCCATGCATATTCCCCAAAGTGGGACTGTGTTCATGCCCCATCCGACCTCGGATAACACGAACAGCCTCAGTCCCCATGTCCTTCCCCTGCCTCTTCAGGACAGCCTGGCAGGAAGCACAACCTCCCCACTGTGCAGATGAGTAAACTGAGGCTGGGGAGGTACAGGGGCGCTCAGGACCGGAAACGAGCCCCGTGCCAAAGCCAGCTCCTAACAACCAGTGCGGGGACAGGGGCAGCGTGATCCTGGCACCCATCTCCGGGAATCCTGGGGTCTGACTGTGGGGGTCCGCACCGTTCAGTTCCAGGGGGATCATCAAAAGAAATTCCCTTTCGCTTCAGCTTCCCGGTGCCTTTTCTGTGCCCGACTCGGCACTTTGCCACCCGCCCGGGGGACCCCAAAAGCCGAATCGGTTCTCCTGGGTGGGAGCTTCGTGACGTTCCCTGCCTGGGCTTCAGGGAAGGCGGGGGCACTGCTCCTAGGGACCATCGCGCAAGTGCGGTCCCGGTCTCTGCCGCAGATAGTGGGCCTCAACTGGCCTGGGAAGAGTCCAGGAGGCGCCGCTCCAGGCGGGCCTAACCGGGCGATTCCCGCGCCCCTCACAGCCTAGTTCCGAGACTCGCCCCCAGCGCGCCCCGCCCGCGGATGGGTGGGTGCTTTCCTCCGATCCCCGCCACACTTTGCAGACGCTCCCCCGCGCCCCTCCAGGGGCGCCCCCCCCCGCTGCCGCTTGTCCCCCGGCCGGATTCTGCGCGCGGGTGGGTGAGCGTGGGGGACCATGGCCCTATGGACCCCGGGCACTGGCGGGCGGGGAAAGGTGACCGCTCGCACCCCTGACCTGGTGCATGCCTTTCTGGAACCCCTTTCCACGACTCTCCCCTCCCACCCGCGGGACAAAGGGCGGGGGCGGGGGCGCATCCCCACGCGTGACCTCCCCCCGCACTGCGCACGCGTCCAGCCCCACCGCCCTGGGGGAGGGCCCCGTCCACCCACGCGAGCGCGAGGTCGGGGAGGCACCCGGCGTGGGCAGGACGCCCACCCACGCTTGGAGGTGGGGCCGGCTCCCCCGCACCTACCGCTCCTTCCCGCCGTGATGAGGGTCCTTCCCATTCGGGCCGGGTGTCCCTGCTGTGGGCCCCGCGGGAGCCCAGCGTCTCAGCCCGCAGCGTCCTCACTCCCTAGGTAGGAGCCAGCAACTTTGGGGGCCCTCCTCCCACCCGACCCGGGTCCTGCGCTGCGGCCCTGCGCTGCGGCCCTGCGCTGCGGTCCGGCCGCGTCCCCCATCTGCGCCGCTGTTTCTGTCCAGTGCCCTGAGGCGCTCTGCCGGCCACTAGGAGACCCGCTGCCATGAGTGACAGAAACAGCCGGAGGCGGCCACGTGAGGAAGCTGGGTGCCCTGGGCCACCTCGGTCCCCAGGCTGGCCTGCCCCTCCCTGGGGCTGCGGTGGTTGGGGGTGGTCTGGGGGCCGCGGACCTCCTGGGGTGACCCGGGGCCTCTCCTCGCCAGTGAAGGACGATGAGGCCTTCGAGATCGACATCCCCTTCGCCGACGCGCCCCGCCTGGACTCCCAGATCTTCTACAGCCTGAGCCCCTCCCGGGCGAGCTTCGAGGGTGAGCTGAGGGCGCGGGGACCTCAGTGCGCAGGGCGCCCGCGGTCCGCGGTGACCCAGGTCTCCCGCCGGCTGTCCGCAGAGCCCCCCGAGGCGCCGTCCCCCACGCGGGCCCTGATGAACGGCGTCAAGGCCCAGCTGCACATGGCCCTGGAGAGGAACTCCTGGCTGCAGAAGCGCATCGAGGACCTGGAGGAGGAGAGGGACTTCCTGCGCTGCCAGCTCGACAAGTTCATCTCCTCCGCCCGCGGGGACGCAGGTGGGGTGCGGCAGGGCCCGCCTCCGCCCGGCATCCTGGGCCACTCCCCTCCCGCTGGACGTCGAAGGCTCTTCCAACGTGCCCTCCTGTTGCCCTCTCCAAATTACACAGCACCTTAAGTCTGTGGGTGCCCAGGCCCCTCCTCCCAGCCCAAGCCCTGCCTGGCCGTTGGGTCCTTAGGGCGCCCTTGCCCTTCACCCCAGCCTTGTCTTCCTCCTCAAGGACCCAAGAGCCCAAACCCCCTGCCTCCTGCCCCCAGCTGACTGGCAGGCCAGGCCTTCCCACCCACTCTGCAGGGCCTGGCCCTTCCTCAGGGAGGTCTCTGCAGTCCCATCTCCTTACCTGGGTGGGGAACCTCCCAGCCCACTGCCTGTCCTCTCAGGGTCCCCCTGACTCCTGGCTAGCCCAGCCTCGGGGCTGTGTGGCCCTGCCAGGCCCTTGTGAGCTCTGGGCTGCAAGGGGGCTGTGCTTTGTGGCACTGGCGTCCCTCTGCTTGGAAGCCACCTGTAGCCTGGTGGGCACGCCCTGCTCATCCAGTCCTCAAGGCTCTGTTCTGGGCCACTCCACTGTCGTGCAGTCCCCACCTCAGGGCAGCCCCTTCATGAGCCTCCTCCTTGGTCAAGGTGGTGGCCTTCCCTGACACACTACTGCCTCGCCCCTAGCCAGACTCCAGGCTGGAGGCACCTCGGCAAAGTCCCTCCTCCTGGCAGTCCCAGGCCTTCCTGAGGTCCCACGGGGTCCTGGTCAGCACGGCCCTCGGCCCTCGGCTCAGTCCAGGACGGGCAAGCACTCCCACCACGCGCCTCTTCAGTGCGGCCCTGCCCACCTGTGTCCTGGGGTCCCCCTTGCCCAGCGGCCACCCTCCCTGGCCCTTCTTCTAGCACCGGCCCAGCCTCCACCCTTGGGACTGTCATGTCTCTCTCTGTCCCTAGAGGACCACTGTCGGGTGAAACCTGGGCCCCGGCGGGCGGAGGGGGACAGCCGGGCTGGTGCTGGGGGCGAGGCCTCGGACCCGGAGTCGGCAGCCTCCTCGCTCAGCGGAGTGTCTGAAGAGGGCAGCGCAGGCGAGAGGAAGAGGCAGAGGCAGAAGGGAAGCACCGGTCGGAGGCGCTTCGGGAAGCCGAAGGCGCGGGAGAGGCAGCGGGGTGAGCGTGGGCGCAGGGTGGGCCTGTTTCCTCCCGCGACACTCGTGGCCAGGCCCACGCGCAGCAGGCCGCCGCGGGCACCTCGTATCAGTACGCCGGAGGACACTGGGGCCTCCCTCCGGGCAGGAGGCCTGCCCCGTGGGCTCCCGTACACTGCGGGTGGGCTGAGGGGCGGGGGCCTGGCCACGCTCACCTCCTCTGGCCTCCTCCACCTGCCAGCGACCCGGCCTCCCCTCCCGCCCCCTCCCTTCCTGCAGTGGGCTCCTCTCGCCTCTGCCCTCTCCACCTTTGCTGCTGTCTCCACACCCTGCTCTCCGTGCCTCACCCCGCCAGACCTGAGCCCTCTGCTCTCCCGTCTCCACTGGCCCCTGAGCCCGGCTCTCCATCTCTGTCCCTTGTCCCGCAGTGAAGGACGCGGACGGGGTCCTCTGCCGCTACAAGAAGATCCTGGGCACCTTCCAGAAGCTGAAGAGCATGTCGCGGGCCTTCGAGCACCACCGCGTGGACCGCAACACCGTGGCGCTGACCACGCCCATCGCGGAGCTGCTCATCGTGGCGCCCGAGAAGTTGGCCGAGGTGGGCGAGTTCGACCCCTCCAAGGAGCGCCTGCTCGAGTACTCGCGCCGCTGCTTCCTGGCTCTGGACGACGAGACACTCAAGAAGGTCCAGGCGCTCAAGAAGAGCAAGCTGCTGCTGCCCATCACCTACCGCTTCAAGCGGTGACCGCCCGCCCGCCGCCCCGCGTGCCTCTCCCCTCCGGCGGACCCCTGTCCTAGCATCCTCCCCTTTCTCCTCCGTGGCCCAGGGGCTGGGTCTGGAGCAAACTGCTGTTCCCGAGCACCGCATCCCCCTCCCATGGGGGCCCTTTCCTCCGGACAGCCCTGGGCGCCTGCACCCCAGCCTGGGAGGCCAGCCCTGCCCTGCCTCCCCGTACGCCGGGACCACCCCCGTTCCACGTGAGACAGAGTTACTCAGAGCATTTAAATTAAAAGACACGTGAAAATTTGGATAAACTGGGCCCCAGCCTCTTTCTAAGAGGGGGCGGCCGTCGCCACGGAGACTGAGACCGAGTTCTGGGAGCCGTTTCCGGGGAGCAGCGGTCAGGCGGGAAGCGGGGAGGACAGGGTGTAATTAGCCCCCTGCAGGCAGAGGTGGGAGAGAGACAGGCAGCTGTGCCCCAGAAAATTCGAAGCGAGCACAGCTCCGGGAGGAGGCGTGGACACACCCGCTGAGCTACCTAGTCTAGAGGTGCGGCGGCAGCAGGCGGGGCCCGATGACCTTTACTGGAGGCCATTCGAGGAACTAGGTGTCCCTCCCGAAGCCTCCGCCGATCCGCCAGGGGGCGGTAATGCGGAAGTATGTGTCTCCCAGAAGTGGTATTTCCGTCACGTTCTTCGACTGCCCGGCGGGAGGGGCGAACGCACTTATGTATATATGGTTGCTAAGGCAACCAGGAGAGGGCGGCCACGCTTAACGGTCGGGAATACGGAGCACCACCACCCTAAGAGAAAATCTCGCGCACGCGCAATGGGGGCTCTGGAGCCCGTTCTCCCAGCGCGAAGCCGGGACGAACCTATCCGCCCATAGTTCGCCACGCAGGCGCAGAAGCCCGTCTTGCCCCTTTCCGCTTCCACCCCGCGCAGGCGCAAAAAGCCGCGCTGGCAACCTCCGCAGCAGCCGCGCGCACCCTTCACCTCGCTGGCTGCTTTTGTCTCGCGCAACCTTCTCAGGCCCTCCGCGAGTCGTCCTTTCTTTGCCAGGACTCTTCCCACCGGGAGAGCCAGGTGCTGAGAGCCAGGACACCGCCTTCTTTTCCGTTCCCCTGACCCACCTCGCCTCCGTCCTCCCTCCCTTTTTGGGTCCTGAAGCCGGAAGGGGCCGAAGCGCCTACGGAAAGAGCCGAATTTGTCGCCTGCGAGTGAATCCTTCCGAAGAGGTGGCGGAAGGAGCCGAAGTTTTCCGACGGGGAAGGAGGAAGCGAGCGGAATCTCCGGAAAGAGCCGAAGCTTGAAATCGAGCTTAATTTCTAGAGGGGCCCGAGGGCGAGCGCCGGAAACCTTCTGAAAAGGCCGAAGTCCGGGACGGTTAGGATTGTCAACGTGGCCGATTGCTTGGACAGGGCCAGCGGAGAACGGGGCAAGCCTGCAGAAGCAGCCAAACACTAGGACGGTTTGAACTGTCGGGAGAGGCGGAATCCTTAAAGGGGGCTGGGCGTAGAGGAACGCGAGGATTGACGGAAATCTCCGAACGTGGAAAAGTTACGGAAACCCGAGAATCCAGAAACCCTTGCTTCGGGAGTTTTCGGAAGCCCCCGAAGCCGCCGCCTACCGACCCCTTCGTCAACCGTCCGGAAATAGTCGAGGCGCTTCGGAGTCAGGCTTGGGGGGAGGGTCAACGCGGCCGCCTCAGCATGTCGGACTTCGACGAGTTCGAGCGGCAGCTCAACGAGAATAAGCAAGGTGAGGGCGCTGGGGTCGCCGGGCGGCGGTGGGGGCGGATCCTCGCTTCGCCCCTTGCCCCCCGCCATTTTCCCCCACACGTTCCCCCTCTTCTTAGGGCCGCGCGGTGTCCCCCCCACCGTCCCGCTGCGCGCGGCTCGCTCACGTGACCGTCCCAGCGCTCCGCCGCACGCCCGGCGAGGGACGGGGGTGGCGGTGCTCGGGCTCGTGGCGCATGCGCACGACGCCTTTTCCCGCCCCACGTGGCCCCGGCGGAGGCGGCGCGGGAGACAGGCGCGAGCGCGCCACTTAGTCTGTGCGCGAGTTCTTCTTTAGCCTTTTTCTTTTTTCGGTAAAGTAGATTATGGAAGGTCCCGTAATCCCCCTTTTGGCTCCCGCTTCCCTGGCACTTCCGCTTCCGGTCGGGGCCACGGCCCCCGTCTCCACGCCCCCTTTGTTTCCCAAATGGCGGAGCGAGGCTCAGG